AGGCGATCCGGCAATGAGCAGATGTGCGAGGGTGCTTGCGAAGACGAAGACGGCCACGACAATGAGAAGAGCGTGGAAACCACGAATGTGAACTGCATCCGTAGCTTCTGCGTTGCGGTACAAGCCTGCAGGATAGTACCACACGAGGAAGCAAAAGACAGCCATGAAAGCGTTCCAAGCCAACTCGATGAAAATGTTGGAGAGGACGAATGCTTGCCAAGCATAGGTCTTCGACTGTCGCTCCCGCGCTTCGTACAGAGTCCGTTGCGAAATCCACATCGGCATGATCTGGTAGATGAGTTGGATAACCACGAATAAGAAGATGAAGACGCCAAACATCTGGTTCTGCAGGCCCTGCATGGTGTTGTCGCTGTCAAAGAACGAGAATCCGATCAGGATAGAACAACCGATAGTCAAGATAGCCTTTGCGTAGATGTATGACGGCGTCCTCCAGTATTGTTGTGCGCACCGCATGGCTACAGCGCGTAATTGGTCCTTGAAAGAGGCTGCGAAGGCCTGGTGACTGGCGTCGGCTGAGTCCATGACGGCAGAGGGCCGGTTGGCAAGTTCCCTAAGAATAGCTAGTTCAGTTTGAACATTCGCGTACTCCTTGCTGGACTTCCAGACAGCAGGCCAATCAATCTCGGTTCGCGCACCGGGTGCGGCACCGATTGCTGCAAGCATATACTCGGCAGGGTTGGTACCGGCAGGGCATGCTGGCGCTCCGTTGCGAGTGAAGTAATCGAGGAGGGTCTCGGAGTCGCGACCAATCTCACCAAAGTAAACAGTCCTTCCACCTTTGGCGAGTAGAAGGAGTCGGTCGAAGCGCTGAAAGAGAAGGGATGAAGGTTGATGAACCGTACAGAGGATCGCCTGGCCGTCTCGGGTCAGCTTCTCCATCAAATCACAGATGGACCATGAAGTCTGACTATCGAGACCAGAAGTGGGTTCGTCGAGGAAGAGTAGCAACTTGGGACGAGCGGCGAGCTCGACGCCAATGGTGAGGCGCTTACGTTCTGAATCAAGTTAGTGAAGCTCGTGGGTCATGGCCGGAAGCATGGGGATAATTACGCTCAACATTGAGTCCAGATCCGGGAATACCAACGACAGCATCCGCATACTCTTCCATATCCAAAAGACGAATGACATGATCAACATATGCGAGTCGCTCCTCGCGTCCATACTCCGGTGGCTGTCTGAGCAATGCAGAGAACTCCAGAGCCTCTCGTACAGTGGATGTATCCAGATGTATGTCTTGTTGCATGCAGTAGCCGGTCTGTCGTTGGAAAGACTCGTCTCTCTGACGGCCGTCCACAAGCATGTTACCACCAATGACGCCCATGGTCGTTCGACTCGCGAGAACATCGAGGAGTGTAGTCTTACCTGCACCTGACACACCCTGCAGGACTGTTAGCTCGAGTACAAAGAAGCAGTCCGGTTACCATACCATGAGAGCTGTCAGGGTGCCCGGCCTGATGTATCCGTCTACACCATCCAGGATAGTACGGATTTCCCCCTTGATCTGGACTTCATATGTAACCTTCTCCCAGTGAAAGATAGACACCTGCTTTTGCATTGCGGGTTCCAGTTCTGTGTTACGGCTGATCTTCTCACCCTCGTGGGCAGTTGCTCCACCGGCTTCCTCGTCAGCACCGTTCTTCTTCGCCGTCTTCTGCATCTTGGAACGTCGGAACACAAGCACTTCGCCCTTAGAGCGCTCGGAAGCAACCAACTCGCTCATGACTAAGTGAGCAAGGAAGAGAATGACTGTAATGGCTATGATGATACCATAGTTGGACCACCGTTCACTGTAGTTATACTTGAAGGCAGTCTCGATGTATGCAGTACCACTGACGTAGTCTAGACCTGGTTGGGAGCCTTGCACAGCACATGCTCGCTGTTCAGGCGCAACGTTCTCATACGATGGTCCAGAGGGTACGAAGGACGAACAAGCAAATGTTCGATTGTGGAACTCGTTGACCATGACATTTTCGAAGCCGTACGCAACTGGATTGATCCATCGGAACCAGCCCGCCCATCCTTGCATATACTGGACCGGGATAGCAAACCCGGTGTATAGTACAAGCATGATCAGGATGAGAGAGCTAGGAGCGAGCGCTTGGGCGAGGGTTTTCGTCATCGAAGCGAACAGCCGGAAGAACATGCTCATGGAGAGACCTGTGGTAAACCCAACGAGCAGGAAGTAAAAGTACGGACCGGGCTCTCGACGTAAATTGGACATGAAGTACAATGTCGTGTTGACCAAAAGACTATTAGTGATCTTGTACGGCAGGTCCACGATCATCGACGACAATGCTTCCGCCGAGGGATGATACAGGGCATAGCGATTGTGTTTCTCAATGATAGTACGCTTTGCGTAGAGATTCATAATCTCCAACATAGATCCGAAAGCATTAAGCAGCACGACCATGAACAAAACTCCGCCACGCTTGAAGAAGGATGCGGTCGACTGAGGTAGGTTGTAAAAGATACTCGATATGATGAGTGCCTCGAAGAAATTGACGATGAGCATAGTCAGAAGAACGCTCGGGTCGTTTTTGAGTCTCTGCACATCTCTCCACATGCAGAGACGGATCTGCCTCCAATATGAAAGAGTATATGGCGACTTCTGTCGTTGCTTCTTGGACTTCTCCATTGTCCTAGAAAGCGCAAAGCGTTCGTGCTGCTCACCCTTGAGAGGATAGGTGTTGTTGTATTCTTCTATCTCTTTCAATAACCGTTGACGTTCGGGACTCTCCTTCCAGCATCGAGCGAAGTCGTCAGAGGTACGGGGCGTGGTGTTCTCGAAGCCCTTCCGGATGCGGCGCTCAGATGCGGATGTCATTGAGGTGAGGAAATCGGGCGTAGTCTGGGAGGCAGGGCATTCGAAGCCAAGACGTTCAAAATATGCGCGCGCCTCGTTCGACGGTCCGAAGTAGATCTGACGGCCTTCGTACAGTACAGTGACTTTGTCGAAAACCTGAAGGAGTTAGCCAAACCATTCTCTGGTCGCATCTTACTGGAAACTAACCTCGTATGCGGCTTGTGGAGCTTGATAGATGGCGATTACACAAGCTGCACCAAAGACGTCACACTGAGTCCTCAGCGTCTTACAGAACTCCACCGCGTTGGCTGAGTCTAAACCACGAGTCGAGTTGTCCCACAGTTGGAGAGGTGCAAAGCTGAGAGAGGCCTCAGCAATCGTTACCCGCTTGCGCTCACCTCCGGAGACTCCACGGACATAATCGTTGCCAACGCGTGTGTTTAACGTGTGCGAGATACCGTACATGGCCATGACGACCTACTAGAGGTCAGTGATCAGTCCATATGGGCTCGAGTAGGTATACCCACATCTCGTAGATGTTCAGCGTAGCGCTGGCGACTGATACCACCGGGTATGGTACGGGGTGCTCGAGCTAGAGCAGCGAAGTACAGCGTGTCACCCACACTCAATTGAGGAAAGTGCGCATCAACCTCTGCGGTGTAAATTGCTTCTCCACGGAACACGGAGTTCATATCTTTTGCTGGCACACCTTGGTAGTTTAAATACGAGTCGGGGCTGACTTGGAAACCATGGGTCTCGCCGGCGATAGTCTTCAACAGTGTTGAACATCCCGATCTACTGAGTGTTAGATCATATAGCAGTGTTCGAAAATATTTGAACATACCCAGGGGGTCCAAGGACACATAATTGCTCTCCCGGAAGGAGCAGTCCATCCAAATCCCGTAATATCTCGATCTTTTGTGTTCCTCTTCCAAATAAAGCAGGCAATTTGAGGATGGTATTCCCCACAGTCGACTGGAAGTCTGTTGGTGAGCCTTTGCCCCAAACATTCAAGCCTCTGAACGCGACGCCGGCAACACGGGGAATCGTTTCTTCACTACTGTAACGCAAGTCGTAAAATGATCGAGCCCAATCTTTGGCACGAAATTGGTCGCTCTTGGGGTCAAGTCGGTGGTGCACATCGTCGGCAAAGGGTGAGCCAACATTTTGCTGTTCTGAATGTGTTGTAAATTTGCGCACAAGCTCATGAACATCTCTTTCACGCTGCGCTTCTTGTTGGGCTTCGGTCTTGTCGTCAGGTCCTGTAGAGTTGGAGCTAGCGTCTGATTCCAACTTCAAGCGGTCAACGTGGGCTTCTTCTTTGACCACTTGTGTCTCAGTGAAGCCTAGTCCAGCTAACATGCTCAAATAGAGATGCGCGTTCAAGGAACTTTGACGAAACCGTGACCAGGATGTGGATATATCACTAGAAATGCTATTGGTCAAGGATAGCACTAGTAGCACTATCAGTCGGGGTTCGTGAGTCTATCGCATGAATGTATGAATGAATGCACTTACAGTAGAGAGTTCTTGTGCGGATCGAACAGTGCTGGCCCTGTATAGGCAAGGGAAGATATCAGATAGCGATATCGAAACAGCTCTGAAGTACTGTCCGTCGACATTCCTTTTATTGAATGAATCACGATGCTGAACGGTCATATCTTCGCAACTATGTCCAACACAGGTCAGTCGGCAAACTTGGCGATCCTGGTCCGAGTGCTATGGGTGGTGTTCGTGATTCTCGGCAGTACGTAATTAACCGGACACCGCGCTTTCCCGAATGTCCGCGGGCTCCTTGCTCTTTCCTCATCTACGTCTTCCTCTCGATACGCAATTTTGAAGAACATTTGGTGATTCGCTAGTCGACCAGACCGCTTTCGCGTGCGAACACCCTTCCGGAACCCGGAGGTGCGTCTAAGAAGTCGCTGCAGCCATAAAATGACGATGAAGCTTGCCGTAGGTACCCATCGCCTGCACTGATCGGAGAGCGGAGATTGCTAAATGTCCCTTGAAGTGTCTTCGGTGCAAGCGTAAAAAGATCAAATGCGACAAAGCGGAGCCAGTTTGCCACCAATGCATCGCTGCCAAAGAAGAATGTCAGTATGTAGAACGACGACAAAGGCCGCGCCACGCGCAACAAAAAGCTGTCGTGCAGCATCTAAGCCAGCGACTAGAGATGCTCGAGAAGCAAATCAGTGATACTGCCGATGATCGTTCATCATCTGTATCAGATTTGGCACCGAGACGCGAATCGATAAGAAAGAGCACACCCGTGCCGTCTCCAGAGGCCTCGCTGACCGTGGCTGATGGTCAGGATTCATGGGTAATGAAACCGATACCGAAGGAGTTCGTGTTCGCTGAGTTAGGCCTTGAGCGAGTTGAATGTACCATAGAATGTTTGCTGCTTGCTCATTCATCTATGATCTGCATCCATATGCAAAAGTGTGCCAAAAAGCATTCAAGGATACTGCTCAGAGGATACGAGCGCCGTTCAAAATCCTGTCGGATCATAACAGCTAACCTTTGTAGATCTACCGGCTTGCGACTGATACTCGACGCAGCTTCCAAGATAAGGCTACTCCAGTCGCGACACCAACGTCAAATATCGATAATGCAATGTCGGCGCTTAACGAGGCCATCGAAGACCTCGGAAAATTAAGGGTGCGCACTGGGGCATTGAGTGTAGACTTCAAAATCTCCACAACAGAGGCACGATCATGTATCGACGGATTTGTCACCGTCATGTCCTCAATGCTTGTACCGGACCTATTCATGGACTCAATTTTGGATATCGGCTTACTTCGCGCGTTACCCGAGATAATTGACTCTCCTTTCGTCAATGTGGATCCTAGTATGCGTGTGCTGTAGTGAGTAGCTCCTGCTCAAGCTATATGGCAGTCGAATCTGACTGATATCAACGTCAAGTTACAACGCCATGTTTTATGGATTACAGTTGACGGAGGCCCCGGGAGGAGACCGGATCAAGAAGGCATATATGAAGATATTAGAGAGCGTGCCTGCATGGCTCGAATCTCCGAATGACACAAGCATGGACATTCATACCGCAGCCCTTTCGGCATGGACAGCGATGACCTGCCATGACTACCAGTTAGCATGGAAGTTTCACTGCAAGTCCTGCCAGCATATCAAATCAAACGGGATAGATCAGCTGGATGTCATACCGGCAAAATCCTTCGAAGAAGAAAGCAGGAAAGATACCGACCGCTACACATACTGGTACATCCTGTCTATTGACACCTTCTTCCGTCTGTTCTATGATAAGCCGACAGTCTTGCAGTACGTACCAAACAAGGTTCGACCACCACTACTCTTTCGTTCCGACAACATGCACCCCTCAGCTCTGAACGTCACAATGAGCGCCGTATGGATAAGGTACACACTCCTGACAGTAGAAATGATCAGCTACGTCGATAGTCACCAAACACCGAATCAAGATGAAACAGTCTCTCAGAAAATCGACGAAACTTGCTTGCAGATGGAGGCACTTATGGACGAGTGGAAATTACATGATATGATGAACGCGGCGGGTACTTCAGACGACGTTCGCTGTCTTGTCGCAGATCACATTAGTAAGTGGACCCAGTATATTGAACGTGAAGGAGGGGCAACCATTAGCTAACCTTGCGTTGTGAACATTTACGCGACGATAATCGGGTTGCAAAGATTGGTACGCCATCATCAAGCAAGACCTGGGTCGAAGGACATCGCCCTCCGAGCCGCTCGCCGTGTCCTAAATACCATCCTTGACTTCTACAACACGCCCAATCTGAACATGAAGTTCACGAGCATAACAGATCAGTAAGCTTCACTCGTTAATGCCCTATCCGTTCCGTGTATTTCCTCAGTGCAGCCACTAATCTGGAGTCAGTTTCATAACATTGTATCCTTTCTGTGTCGTATTTACCCTATACGAGCACATACTAGCTTGCAGCAAACCTGAGGATTGCGAAAGTGATATACAAATCCTTGAGAACATCGGAGCTGCTATGGCTCAAAGCGGTACACAACGTCGAGATTTGGTCCCATTCGAAAGGACGATCAACGCTCTGAACCGCGTTTCACGATCTCTACAAGAAGAGAGGCGAAAAGAATCGATGTTGATCGAGACTAGAGAGCATGTTGCGCAAGAAACGGACCTGCCTCCGACCAATTTCGATACAATCCAGAACCTGATGGCTAGCGAACTTCCAGACATTGATATGTCAAACTTCTCATCGATGCCCGACTACACTCCAAATATGGATGGCGACTTCCAATCTCTGGGATTCTTTAGGGCGATAGAAAACGATTTCGTTGCGCGGAACTGGCAAACCGACTGGTGGGATCTCGGTGGTGGTGCGGATATCGGAATGAACCAGATTCCAGATACTCATCCACCAGATTTTGCCTACCAAGCACCAAATACATGAGCATGGCAGAGGTTCAATGAGAACGTAGAGAGTGAACGAGCGGTGGGATACTATCATGACTCTGAGAGGTGGATAAAAGCTACCCGCAACCTTGTGAGATTATTGTTTCGATATCCAACTGTACAAATAGCATATACAAAGGCAAGAGTGGGCGAAGTGTGAACTACTCAAGATCAGGCCTACCAAGGTCAGCGCTTTGGCTGTTCGGTACTAGCGCTTATTACCCACTCTGTCTTCTCAATGCGTTATCACATCCGGTACTTTTGCCGGTCAGCACGTACGAACGGATGTGGAGATACATACTGAATTCCAGCAACGTTCAGACATCATGCCACATCTCGCCCTGGACCACTTACTCACTTATAGTGCTATGGGCTTCCCTGAATTGGTGTCCTTCCTGATTCTATCTTGATCACTCTATACTCTGCGGTCATGCAACCCCCATTTCCATCACCAACGGCCACCTGGCATAACGAATCTTATGATGCTATCAACCCATCGAATGCAGGCCTCAGTCAAGCAGGGAAGACGGTAATCATCACGGGAGCCGGTAGCGGCATAGGTCGTGCCACAGCTCTAGCTTTTGCGAAAGCAGACGCAGCACGCCTGATCCTAATTGGACGCACCGAATCGACCCTCGAAGGGACCAAAAAGCTACTCGCAGAGAGTAAATCAGAATGTGCAGTCTACCCTGTCTCAGCGACTGATGAGACTGCGATGCATGACATCGCTAAACAGGTCGGCGCCTGGGATGTCCTCGTTCTTGCCGCAGCACACATTTCCTCACCTTCCAAGATCGTCGAGGCTTCTCTGCAAGATTGGTGGGCGGACTATGAGACGAACGTCAAGTCCATCGTCATCGCTTCACAAGCTTTCGTTCCAAGTGCAAAGCCTGGTGCTGCTTTATATACACTCGCTGCTGGCGCAGCTGCTCTGCCGCCAGCATACACACCCGGATTATCAGGTTACCTCGTATCAAAGACCGCGCAGACAAAGATCGTCGAGTTTCTTGCCGCTGAAAACCCAGACCTCTTCGCATGCGCAGTACATCCTGGAATGGTGGATACAGGTATCTTCCGAGGCTCTGGCGCGGATCCATCACAGCTACCTATGGACTCTGGTGAGTGGTAACAAGAACTAGTAAAGAAATGTACTGATTTGTCGCACAGTCGACCTAAGCGCGAATTTTCTTGTTTGGCTATCGCAGCCAAAGACCAAGTTCCTGAGCGGTAAGATGGTTTGGGCGAACTGGGATGTGGAGGAGTTGGAAGCGCGCCAGGACGAAATCAAGGGGAGTTCGATGATGACGGTTGGGCTTGAGGGATGGCCATACAGTCCTGCTGCTGCGAAGTAGTCGCTGCATTGATCAGATCCACAAACGCTTCATATTGAAGCACATCGTTGAAATTGGCATGCATGCAAATGGGATGCAGTGTGGCGTTGACCTGTGTGAATGTTCTCTCATGCATGCTCTCCACCAAATCTTGCAAGTGACGGCCCTTCATGGTTGCCTTTTCTTCAATCTCTACACTACATTCGACATCCAATAAGTGGCCAATAAACGCTCTAGAATCGGAGTGGACCGTCCACACCGTCAGTCATGCAAGCCTCAAGTGGCTGTGCATCTCAGCCTGTCGTCCTTCAATTTTCCCCACCTCTCCACTGGGTCAGCTCTCAAGCTTGCCTTGATATTTGCCACCACTGAATGCAGTGTTCTGTCTATTCATGTTGCATACCGGAGCCGTCTCACAAGATTCGTGGGAAATCTCACTCTTACTCAATATGCGTGTGCCTGCAAGGCTGACGGACCCGCTTTCGCCCGCCAGACTCAAAAGTGTCGTACTCGGTATGAGCGAAGGACGATCGCGTCTAGAAGGCAGTCTATAGATCTGCAATGCTTGATCGACAGGTCTCAAACAAGGCAATGTAGACGCCGGACGTATAGCTGGGCAGATCAAGGAACAAAGACCCGGTGTATGGTAAGCCGTACTGATTACAACCTAGGATCATCTGTCGAGATGTCACGTTGATTGGAGTACATAGATCCTGCACCAATGCATCAGATGCCGATTTCGTACTCCAGTGATGGGTTACAGATCGAGGTCCTTTGCACCTGTGAGGACCAGTACCCATGGTCTCCTTCCCTGGACATCTCGCCTAAAGGCCAGCACATCACCAAGCCTCCGCCTCTCTCTTGGGCCTTGAAGTCAAACTAACCTCTATCTCCACCCGTCGTCATAAGCAATGTGCAGCGAATCAATAAGCCAAGACAAGCCAACACCGTTGTCGTGAATGACGGTGAGGCTTCTCAAGACCCTCATCTTGCAAATCAGGTTATCGGGTAGACAGCCGCTCGACCCCGCCTCTCGCTACACGCACCTATCGATTGCGAACAACATCAAAAAGCCACCCGCGGCCATTTATGCAAGCCACACGGCTCGATAATCTATATTCGGCATTGGAATTATGGTAGCGCGCGGCGAGTAGTTGAGCTATGGAGACATGTATGCAAGGCGTGACGTGACCGGTGAACGAGTGCAGCTGCCTGTGAGCGAAAAAGATGGAAAAGACGTTCTGGAATGTGAGAAGGCGGAAAGTGACGATCTTGGTCAAAGGAAGCCGAGGTCTTGGCAATGAACACCCCAGTCTTCGCCCGTCGACAAGCATGTAAGACGTGATTTTGCTATGCAAGCACCAGGCTGTTTGCCTACAATCGACGAGCATGACCCCAGTTGTTCTAGCTCTTAACAGAATTGCCTACGTTATACGCCAGCTCAACATCACTTGACTTTGTCTTCCGCAGCCTCTTCTACAGTCTATGCTTTCTAACTCATATCGTGTCAAATTGCGCAACTCAACCCTCAATTTCTCTCATCAAAGCCTGCGGGACTAAAAGCACTCGCCAAACGTATGGCCTTGACCAATGAATGTGCGCTTGGAGGCACATAAGCAATATGTACACCAAGCCTCAACAAGCCACAGGAAAAATAATGCACGCAGCACGCCTAATGCGAAGAAAAGAAGAAGAGAAAGGCATCAAGGGAACAGGGACACGGCTCGGTAGCGGCAGCTGGCTAGTACGGCACGGTAGTTGAACCAGTAACTATAAGCCGAGTTTGCCGGTCCAGGAACCGGGTTTTCTTCCATCCCATTTCCCTATTGCAGTTGAGCTTGTCTTGAGAACGAGTGGGCGAGCGGGTGCGTGGAGCGTAGTCCTTTCTTAACTGGACCGGCTCTTAAAACATGTCATACATTCCAGCTCACCACCCCTAAATCGGTCATGGTGTGATTGGATATGATGTATGATCTCCTGTCTTCAAACCCTCCTGTTTCTGTCCCTAGCTGAGCGCACGAAAAGCAAACATGTGTTCACCTCTAGCGGTCAAAGCTACTATGCAATAGTTGGCAATGTCGACATTCAAGGCTGAATACTTACCTAACCCGAACCCTTCTAAGCTTCCGCCGGCTGCACAACCCGCCTGTCCCGTGGCGTATGTGTACTACTGTATATTAACCTAGGTAGCTTAGCGCAAGACAGCCTTACTGCATAGTACATGGAAGAAACACTTGGTTTTTCTGTTTCTCCAACCTACTCTTGCATATGCCGGGCATCTGTCCAATCAAAGAGTTGTGACGTTGGGCGTGGCTGTCTTTTACAGTGTCAGCACTGCAGTTGGTGGCAATTTGCTGACGGACGGCAACTACGGCTTGGCTTTCGTGTTCGTCAGATTAAAGCCACGACCTGTGGGCGTCCAGGGGGTAAGAACTCTAATCCTTTGTCCCGCTTCTCGTTGTCATGAGGTTTGACGGAAAGTACTATAGCCGTAGACTGTAATGGGTAGATTGGAGCGAGTACCAAGTCAAGCTCATTGCACAAAGCTATTGTCAATGGTTAGACCGGAACTGTGAACAAGAAGCGGCACGAAAGTGAACAGACAGGGAATGCGATGCGGATAAAAGTTCATGATTGTACTATATGCTATGCAATGAGCCAGTAATCCCCGGTACTCATGCTACGTGGTGATCGTTAGGTGTGCCCATTTTTCTGTCTATAACGCCCGATTATGATGATTTACTACAATGCCGCTCGCATTCCTGGTGCCAAGCAACCTGTTGCGGCGGAGAGAGTAATTATGAAAAAACAACAGTACGTGGGTCTGTCCATGCTCCAAAACATACATGCAAAGTGCCCAGTGTCATGCTGCCCAAAAGAAGCCCCAAAGATTGCCAGATGATACAAAATTAAACGCTGTAAAACTTTCAATGCAGTTGTTGGTGCCAGCACGTGGTTGTGATGGGAGAACAGGTGACGGCGTGGACGCGAGGAAAAGGCGACAAGGATAAATGCCGTGGTGAAGTTATCGCGATGAAGAATTAGACCTGTTCGGTGAAGGCTGACTTGCGCGAGTCACCGGATGTTCTCCTCTTCTTCTGGAGCTTCTTGGAAGTTCTCCGCTCAGCAAGGTCAATCTCCTCGGGTGTGGGCGGCTGGAAGGTGCCTGGCTTTAGGACTTGGAAGCCAGAGTTGACACTGCGTAAGACATGATCATCGCGATCCTGGTTCTGCTCCGTGTTCACCTCGTACGGCACTTGATCGTAGCTGTACTGGTGTTGAGGGCCACGAGGCTCGTAGGTGTCGGGGTAGTATGGCGCGCCAGGTGCGTAAGACTCGGTCAAAGGAACTGCCTGCCTAGCCTGGTTCGCTGCGCTGCCGTCGTGACTGGGACCTGCAGAGGCTGATAGAGCGACATCTTCGTACTGGTCGGCAACAGTGGCTAGCGGAGGAGAGGGTGACTTCTGGGGCATGAAATAGTTAACACCGTTGACCGAAGAAACTTGGTTGTCTGCCACGCTGGCCCACTCTCCGCTATTACCTGGCTTGCGCACTCTGGGAGTGAGCTGTCCAGTTTCAGCGACATGAGAAAGACGGTGGCTGCGGAGGAGTTCGAGGTCGGTCTTAGGGTCAATAGGTTGGTTGGGCCTGAAGTATGCAGTCTCGTATGCGCGGACATCTTGACCCATTTGCATGTAGTCGGACTCATCGCTGGTGCGATTGCTTGAGGAGCTTGAAGACTGGCCGTGTTTGGCGTTGAGGGGAGCTGTGAGATGTTAGTATGTCTCTATGAAGTGCGCAAGTCTACACTTACGAGAAGGAGCAGCAGAGTTGCGAGTAGAAGCGGGAGATTCCAAGGCGTTGAGGGTAGCAGTGTTCCGGGAGACGTGGTGGTTGCAATTGCTGCAGCGGGGACCTTCGTGGTTGTGTCCACGGCCAGGGGAGGAGGCGCGGGAGTCATGGCTTGGGAGAGGCTCAGCGGAAACGGCGCGGTCGAAGGAGCTGGGGGCACGAGAGCTGTTGCGGCTGGAACCCTGGGCGACTGGCTGGGGCAACTCGAGCTGGGAGTTGTTGAAGCTACGGGGCAGCTTTTCGCTCATGATGGAAGCACGGCTACTGCCAACAGGAGTGTTGGTGCGAGAGATCCAGACACCGTCAACCTCGATACCGCTCTGAATGGCGCGAATACCAAAGGGAATCTCGTCCTTGGTCTCTTCTTGGACATGGGTTACTGGCTGCGCCTCGAGCATCTCGGGAGTCGCCGCGCGTTTGCCCTTCTCGACCTTGCTGTACTTGCGGACCTTGTTCTTGTCATACCATAGCTTGAGCAGGCCAAGAAAGATTGTGAGGACAATTGCGCAAGCCAGTACCTGGGCAGCGTTAGCAGGGACGTTGTCAGCAGCCAGTGGGACTTCTTACGAAAGTCATCTTCTGCCACAAGGCCCAGCTCTGGAAGAACTCATTGCCGTCGGATGATCCGAAGCCCATGTTTGCGATGGAGTGAGACGAGGTTTAGATCCAGGTAAGAATAACAGGCGGGGCGACGCCTGGCTGGGAGAGAAAGACGTCAGGTAGCCGGTCAAGGAGGAAGGTGCAGATGGGACAAGGAAACGGCGAATGGGGGGTGTTCCTGATTAGATTGGTATCGATAGGGTACAGGTGCCGTGACAAAGACGGAGAGGTGAGCGAGCGAAAGGGTCGGACAGAGGTCTCAGGCGTGAAATGGCGGGGGTTTTGAAGCGAGTGTGGAACGTCGATAGGGACGGGTGTCACTAGTGAAGCAGACGTTTGGTCATACACGCAAGGTGGTGAAGAGTCAGTCACAGGCGGTCCAGTGTGGCTTGCTTGTCTGGGAGTAGGGCACAGCGAGCGCAAAGACGGCATGGGGAGACGAGTTATATTATGGCATGCAGCGGCTTGGGTCGTCGGTCGATCGCCGTCACGGACCCACGAAAACAACGGGCCTAGGGTGCGATGAGGAGGGAAAAGTTGGTGCTCCCAAGAACAGACCACGCAAGGCATCCATGCCACTGGGCGGCTTGCTGGGAAGCGTTGACCAGGAGCCACCCATGCGCGGGCGTCATGGGTGGCTAGAGGCGGACGGCAGGTGCATACTCAAAATAGCAAGCGACGATGCGCGAGTGTTTGGAGCGTTGGATCGGCAAGCTATACGAGCACCTGCGGCAGAGCCCAATAATCAACGCGAGCTTGTCGGGAGGCTCGACGCCGCATATGTTTGGGGCCGTCGGGGTCTGCAGTGTGACTTGTCGACGCCGTCTCAGGCGCCGCTGTCCTGGCGATGACGGGTATTGAGCATGTTGCAGTCGCTTTCTACAGCCGCTGGTTCGAGCCATGCTGGTAGGCTAACAAGGAAGACGGCCCCCCGGGCGGGGACGTGGCTTTTCTCACCTCTCGGCAGGGGCAGGCCATGGCCTCCTCTGAGTGGATGGCGCCAGTGACGAATCGCCCCGAAGGGAACCTCTTCCGACATTGTTGTGTTTCGAGTTATCAGATCACGTCGTGATTCTTCTCACGTTGATTATTGCGTCTTCAACTTGATATAGCACGCGAAAGCGTAAGACTCAGGCTCTGCTGTGTTCCGGTTTCGAGACACGAGGCCGCCACAAAGGCCAGCACCGCTCAATAGCGCCCTTCTTGAAAGCGCTTCTTCTCCACAGATTGTGAATAGGCGTCCAATTTCGGGACAGGCTCATGGCGTTGACGTGCCGTCTGTAGTTCGTTGAGGCGCTGTTTCGTCTTTCTTACCTAAGGCCCTACGCCATTTGGTGCCACATGCCACTCTTCAAGGTTCATTTTCCGCAAGGGCTCCACCACAGCGATGGGTTTTGCACGTTGCTCCACCATGATGGAATGCCCAGGCACAGGCCTTCCAAGATTCGATGGGAGCGGGGGCCTGTCCTTGCTTCTGCCCTTGAGCGGAGTGCACCACATGGGGTGAGCGATATTGATGCCACAGCGCACCGCATCTGTGTAACGGCTACTCCCAGCACACACCGCTTCTCGCCTCAAGGCCTTCTCTTCCGCCTACCGATTTGGAACATCTCGTACCTCGCCACCGCGTCGGTAGTGCATCCCCCGAGTCCAGCCTAGCCGGGCTATCGATTGTCTGCACGTGGGTGGAATCTCCTACCACTTCCGAGCGCGCACTAACATGCACCCTTACCCGTACCATCATTAATCATACCAGATGTTCTTTTCTCATACCAGAGCCGAAAAAGCACCATACAATGCATACCAATTACCCAACTAAAGCTCTTGCCATGGTAAATGTGTAAACAATTAGACCATCTCAGTTGAGGCCGGCTTAATTTTGAACCAGTTGCTGCGACCATAGGCGGGCTTCCAGACCCCACCAGCCACAGCAGCATCGCGATCCGTTTGGAGTAACTTCGGAAGCCACTTCGCCTTTACCTGGATAACCGAATCGCTCCTAGGACGTGACGAGATGATGATGTTGATTCGGTCTCGGGCTCCAGCCTCGGCCAAGGATGGACAAGGCGAGTTAGTCCTGCAAGGTAAGCAGAAATTATTGACTCGTCCTAGTGCTCGTATCCGCACATCTTCTCGTACCCATGCCATGGCATGATCGGAAAACTTCGAATTATGCGTCGGCGCTTTCCAGTTTTCGGGCAGATTAAACGCGCATCATCGTATAAGATTGGGATGCTCCTCACCAGACCAGCACAAGTGAATGAGTTTCGGGCTACGATTAGTTCGCAGCGGGGACTGCCAATCGATTGGCGTTTGACATTCACGGCTGCATGCACCTCTGCACCTCTTCATGCATCATGTGCGGGGACACTCACAGCTGCATGCGTGGAAGCTTTGCAGCAGTCCAGCCTCGTAGAGACAGCCCTATCTCGGGCATGTAGACAATTCAGTCTTCTGGGTCACTGACCATCTTGCAGCTGTCATTGCTTGTCCACGTCTAGTGCGATTCTGTTGAACAAAAGGCGTGAGAAATTGCGACACGCAGACTACAATTCTTACACCTCGCTGGAGGCCAGTCAGTTGGCCCGACTACCATTAGATTTGTCTTTCGACCCCGCGTTGCAGACTACTGCACCCAAAGAGTGGTTCATGTAAGCTGATTTTCTTCTTTCCATGCAGCTACTAGTAGAACTGTAGTAGGCAAACGGCATCACAAAAGACACAGTGTGTTACCAGGGAGATTGAACGCAAATCAGGCCCTACTCACCGTGGTAGGTCCGTCTCGAGGCTTCATGACTACCGCGCGCATCACATGGATCGCCTGCGGTGTCTATACTCAAAATATCTCATGTAACTTCGGTCGGGAAGCTCGACCGTTGCCAACCACGCGTACCTGGACACAGCCTCACATTCCGCACAGAGGTACCCTTGTCACTAATCGGGCAAAGGAGGGGCTCGTTTGACAGAAGTGGAGTTGCTGCATCTCTACCAGTCTCGGCCTGTGCGATCTCCAGATTGTGGGGGCATCACTACTGAGGCAGAGAAACGTCTTTACCGCAGCTCATGTTTCGTCGCAGTGCTGATTTTGCGAAGGGAACCCCCAGGCATCCTTGAATGTTTCGAATATGAGGCGCAATCCTTCCCGTACAGTAGTAACACGATTCAGATTGCTTCCCGAGATCATTACCGACATCGCATCTCAGGCTAATACGAGGTATCATAGCGCGAGCGCGCAGCCAGCGCAGACAAAGAAAGCCCAGCCGATCAAGAGTTTTCTAGTCGCGATAATACAGGTCGAGTTGTGTGAGGTACAAACAAGCTGTTTTGAGGCGCGACGGTGGTGAGCTGAAGCTCCGCTTACATAGGGATTTGGTTCCTGGAGGCATATGCAGGGTTCACCGAAAGGCCTTCTTCTGGGCCTGTTTGATCTGCGCCCCAGCACCCGCTCAGCGTTCGACATGCCGCAAGGAAGAATCAGTCCTGTTTAGAACAGTCAATCAAGCCTGGATACGTCTGCGACATGACGTCTTTCGTTCTGCCCTGCTCTCGCACGAGAAGATTGATCGGGCAACGTGGGCACCGGCTAGTTCTTTGGTTACTGCCCGATTGGTTGGTCGAGGAAGTCATGATTGTTAGACCCGATCCAGCAGTTCCTCTTTGCTCACTGCGTCCATCTTACACCAGCCTACTGAAACACTCCACTCTGTTCTCGTACCGCCTTGTTTGACTCTTAGTGCCCTATCACCATGCCTATTCGCAATCCCTTTCGCCGCGCGGGTGTGCCTGAGGCCGCCGATGAGGCCCAGCGGAGCGCGCCGGAGAACGGTTTCAAGAGCACAGCTGTCTCGGGCGCAACGCCCCTGCAGGTCAAGGACCCTGTAGAATACAAATTGAGTGGTGAGATTTCCCAAAATGCGCCTGAGCACAAGCATGTTCCTGTCTAAACATGCTCCCGGGGCTGCATCAGCGCATCGGATGGATGGGCGCTTACAATGTGATAGAAATAAACGATAGCGGCGTCTACCTACCGGTAAGAAATGTCAAGCCAGTGTGACGGTGTATATAGAGCGACACGCGCAAATGGCACACTGTGAGACCTGGATTGACGTTGCGACAGCCATCCCCACAGCACGAGAAGCCTACCTTCTGGCACTCCAAGTCCAACGTCTCCACCGCTTCCTCAAATCACCGAAGTCTGCTCAGCGAAAACGAGCCGTTCAGCATTTCGCGTGAGAGCTTCGACTCGTACAGGAGGTCATTTGTACGTGTTGCGATCAGTGGCAAACAAGACCCCGCTCACGAGACACAGGATATCTCTGCGCGCTCCCCAATCCAAGACAATGTCCACGAAACCTACCCTCGTCAGTCGCTCGATGCGCGCCGCTCCGTTGACACTAGACGCTCTCTCGATGTCCGCCGTTCGCGCGCCACACCCCGCTCGTCAATGCAACAACCCCGCCATAGCGAAAGCCACGAGCAAGTGCCTGAGGAGGGCTTTGAGGACGTGGGCCTAAACGACGAGCCGAAGCCCCAGCCGAAGAAGCGCAGCATCTTCTCGCGCTTCGGCGACAACAACCATGCGAATGAGAAGACTGAAGAGCGACCTGGCTCGAGCCATCACTTCTCTTTGACAGGCCGGAAGAGGGCTGAGAGCGGGGCAGGCTCAGAGCTGAAGCCTATGCCAAAGCCGTCAACGGAGGCGCCCGTAGAGGCGCGGTGATACATGTAAAGGACAATTAATGAATTGTGGGGATCCAGCACCGAAGAGCCATTGCTTCAGCTCCGGAACAACGTTGGATACCGCACCGGGCATAGGGGCGTTTAGGACTTGGTGTCTTTTCTGTACTGCATAACCGCATGTAAGATCGCATGGAGATTGGGATGTTCGGTGTCACGAAGAAAACGAGATTTGATGAATCCGTCGTACCACGCGTTCTGTAGATCCTAACGCAATACTCATCATAATCACGAATCCTAATCATCATACTCCCTTCCAACTCGTATCTTCAAACATCGTATTATCACCGATGATTATTCCCTGCTAGATCACTGGGCCACGCGTTGAGCTGGCTGGCCGGCACCGGAACTCCCGGACATCCGCGGTTCGGTCGTTCCGATGATGTCATCTAGCCGTCCGCTTTTGACTCGTACCTTGGCATGTGCGCGAACGGCTTGGATGCTGAGTGTTTGTTTGTTGGGTCTCGCGAGTGCGAAAGTCATTGAATCGGGATCGAGATTTGATTTCTGTTGAATCTTGCTGCGTTGTTGGGGGGCATGGCGGTAGTGTTTAGGGAGGGGTTCCTGCAAGTCATGTGATACAATGGTTTGGATCAGACGGCTGGAGAACAAATGTGCCACACGCATTCGCGGCCGCGAAGGAGCTCGTTTCCACCAAGTTCTCTTTCCTACAATAGCCCTCCCTAACGACATACAGTTTTACTGTTCGATCAAGGCAAAGATAGGGAATTGGTATTCCTTTGAGGTACGATTTAGTGGGGCAGAGATTGGAGAAGAAAAAGAGTTCCTTCGTAACTTGACATCCTATAAAGACGAGGCTAGAAGAAAGGTGTTGCGACCATGTTCAGAGGCTGGCTTAGGGTTTAGCTATTTCCTTACGGGTTTTGTTGAAAAGAAGGACGAATGCACTTCGCTTAGACAGGACCACCTGCATACACAATTACTCCCTAACTCGACACGACTAGGATTGTGATGAGACAACATTTGCAATGATTAGCTTAACACTTATTGCGAAAGGTATGTTTCTGAATGAGAATTTGAGCGCGAATATCACCTAGAAAGATGGGAGATACACAGCTAGCGGTTATGGGAAATCTGACAGAAACGGTTAGCGCAGAACCGATGACGCCCTTCCGCCTAAGGGTACTTCCGACTTCACAGCACCAGTTCGCTCTTCCCATCAAGCTTCCATCTTTGCGGTGTTGAGCTACGGCTCATTACCAAGATCATACGATATGTTGTACCGTGTAGATGGTGACTGCCTTGCCTCGAGCGCCCCGGGCGGCTTCGAAATTCGTAGAGTCGCAGCCTTGCAAACGCATGTCTCTCAAGTATTGTTTACCCACAAGAGGAGGATGATCGACTGTGCCGCAGATAAGGAATGATGGAGGCTTGCAGGAAACCAGGTCTCGAGCTGAATTCAAATGAAGTTGTTGCCTGGCACACCCCAGCCTTGTGCTACGCGCGCGCCACACTGCCAATCGGTTCGACATGAAGCTACCGGAACGACGTGGAGTCTTGGAACGCATGAATTTGAGCACACATTCATATGTGGCTTGGGCATAGTAGCATGCTCAGCCTTGTTGAGTTGCAGCCTGTGAGCCACGGTGTTGCGGCGAGGTGATGAGGCGGTGGACAATCGCCGCATAGTGCTCCATGTGAAGGTGAAGGTGAACAAGTCTGCTTGCCTTTCTTATTTGACCCCGACGAGCAAAATTAAGATTTCTACCCTTTCACATACGCATAGTCTTGTTGCCTGCAGAGTTTTCATCCGCTGGCTTTGATCTTTTTCTCTCCTTGTACTCGCCTTGGCAACACACCTTTTGCGCATCACGTTGGTTGCGCTCGTTACTCCACTATCTTTGCTATCAAGACGACTACCTTGATAATCATTGGCAACCTCGATATAGGCTCAGAATAGCTGGTATCGTACAGTACGTAATTTTCATCTTCCGATATATCCTTCGCACAAGTACGATGAGCATTAAATGTGCCATAGTCTTGGTTTGTATACAGTAAGACCGTGTACGCTAACCGTTCTACCACAGAACTTGCTCAAGAAGGACCTCTACACCATGATATCGGCGATGGCAACAGCCTACGCCATTCATCATGTGGTACTTCCACCGAAGCTACCGCAGCAAGACGATCGTAACACCGAGCACGAAGTGGTCCTACTCGAGAATGTCATTCAGGCACTCGAATCTCTGAGGGACCACGTCAAAGACGAACACGTCGGATCCATCGCAGCTGCCATCGCAACAGTGAAGAACCTGCGAACCTGTCGCGACCATCACGGCAATAACAGCGAAGTCCAGTTACGAGAAGTTCTCACCAAGGTCACAAACGGTACTACTGGTGCCGTACCGCTCGAGATCAAAGAACAGAATGCTGGAATTCTGGTCAGCCATTCTTCGAACAGCTTGGACTTTGAGTTCTTTGAGCTATCGCCAACGAATGCGGCAGCCATGTCTCGAGGGCGACTTGTGCGAGAGTTTCCAGGCTACGCTTCAAAGATACCGACTGCAAACATCAACCCTGATCTTGTCGAATCGATCTCCAGGACTTTAGCTACGATGACGACTCAGACGGCTCCAGGTTTTCAACCTCAGATTAGAAAGAACAACAAGACGATGAGCGAAGAGCGCGACACAACTCATCCAGGTATGGTTACAGACTTCCTCATGAATATCGTCACTGCTCTCGGCGAGTCGATGGACGTACAGCGCATCACAAAGCATACCCGCGAGGAGGTTCTCTGGAGCAACTGCCTATCACCATGGCGACGATCTCCATTGTGGCTCCTGCTACGCGTATCGCTCCAGCTTCTCTTCGCTCGCTCGGCGCCTGACGCCCTCCATGTGGATGGCCTCTATAAAGCCTTCATGATTTTCATGCTAGCACGATTACTCGATCTGGCTAAGCAAAACGTGAAGGCCATGGGCAGTGAGACTATTCAGCTCGTCCTAGCCAAGTTGACGCGGCGATTGCGCAAGTTCGAGCTTCTCAAGCAGACAGACTACCTGCAGCCAGGCTGGATGCAGCACATCCAGGACAGGATGAACAGCGCCCACACACTTATCGAAGAGAACTGGAAGGCTCTGATCGGCAACCCTCAAGGCAACATAAACTTCAGCGCTATCGCCAAGCTCAAGCCTAAAGCCGATGTTGACATAGAACTGTCAGGCTTGGACGTCTTCTTGTCAAACATCAAAGCCCGGCAGCGAGAAGTCTCACTATCTACGTTCACGCCTACCTCAAAGTATCCGTCGTACGAAGCCACTCAGCTACCGGATAACGTCAAATCCGCCTATTCAAACGAAGACAAATACTTTCGCTTGACTGCTGTCGAGACGTGGGTTGAGTACCATCTTACCGATTGGACCAGGTCTCATCTTCACGATGAAGATGCTTGTGGAAGACTGCGTACAATCATGACCGAATACTATAGGATCGCTAGCGAGGCCTACTCTGGAGCGCCTATCGGTGTGTCCATCATGAATCTGACACTTACTGAGCTTTGGATCGCATGCGATAACATTGCCTGCACGATCTATCCTCTGTTGTTAGCGTACGATCCTGAGGTTGATCTGAAGGAGTTTCAGTGCCTCACGCTACCTCTCAAAACCCATTTGAACCGTCTGAACGTCGCAGAGTGCTACGTAAAGTCGCGGCGTGCCAAAGCTTTGAAGAGGCCCTCTGTCTATCGAGATTTTGGACACTCGTCGTCGTTCGCTGTGAGGTACTTTGATCAACAAGACTACCTCCAGGCGATCTTGTCTAAAATCGAAGCCGACGCGGCCGCCAAGCGTCAGGAGAAGTGTGAGGAGCTCGCGAGGCTCAAACGTGAGTATCAACAGTACATGGACCGCTACAACAGCCTTCAATGTGAATACCGAACGGAGGTCTACAACAGGAGGTTTGGCTACACACATGAAGTACACTCATGGAGCTGCGGCAGATGTGCAGCAAAAAGCCACGCAGATGGACTTACCATTGGAATCTTCGAATGGCCGGTCTCACCCCGTATACATGAAGCAAAAGCTACAGTGTTTGAGTTAGTGGTGCCGGATCCCTACAGCAACTGGCGCGATGCCTCAGCGTTCTTCATCACTACGGTTCTCGGATACAAAGACGCGGACGAATCGAGGGCATCAAAATCATACACGCTCGACAACCACCACGGTTTGTCCCATCTGCTATCTGCTGGGTATTCTAAGCGACGAATCGTTCCGCTTTCGGAGATCAAGAGCCACACCGTCACCCACAGGAAGCACAAGAAAGCTATTCCCCACTTGACTGACGACGACGTGTGCTTGCAAAACGCATTGAGATACGCCTACTACGACACTTCGACCCGTACCTTCAACACAAGCATACCAGGTTGCACTCTGAAAGTCCCGAAGGAATGTAAATACCCGATGCCGAAGCGATCTCAGGCTCTTGAACGATTCATGTATCGACCCCCTTCTTCGCTCGATGGTCTGCCGGCCAATGAAGTTATCGCCAGCTTGTTCGACTGCCCCACTCATTTCTCGATCGACGAATACAAGGCCCTGGGTGCGCTACCTCTTGGGCACAACATCATCTATTCAAACATCCTTGCTCAGCTCGCAATTCCTTCGGTTGACTGGACGAAAGTCGAGACACAATGCATCGTTCTCCAGACTATACAGCAGACTGGCCCGTCAAACCAAAGTATCAAACGTTCCAGTCACTCTATCCTTGGGGAATCGTCCTTTGGCCATGCTATGCTTGAGCAGCTTGAGACCAACCTGGATCGTATCCGAGAGAATTGGGAGTCGTGGCGGGCTGCCGCAACATTTTCTCTACTTGCCCGACGAGTATTGAGCCTGACATCATCCTCAGACGTTCGTTCTCGCGCTTTCAACTACCTGAAGAGTTTGCGAAACGTCTGTTTGAGATGGCTACGACGGCTAAAGCAGCGAGTCGCTGCCTCAACGGATGACGGTCAGCGTACAG